AAATTAAAGACAAAATAAAAAATATTCCTAATTTAAACATGCCATTAGAAACATACTATTTAATTATAGAAAAAGATAGAAGTTTTGAAGGATAGGGAGCAATTATAAAAGTCAAACCCAATAAACATAGTGATAAAAGTGAAGAAAAAATATGTGCCTACCAAAGCGGTAAATATAAAGAAAAAAGGAATATGAGCAGTATAGATGCAGAAATATTAGCTGTAATCTATGGACTAAATAGTTTCAGACTATATATATTGAACTAACCAGACTAGTATGGGCAAAATATGGTTTGGAAAATATAAATTAAATATTTTTTCCGCCGTCAAATATGTCATTCAAAGTTCTAGCAGAATGTATAATAGATAGACCACAGAGATGCTTGATAGATAATTTATGGATATCATATAATAAAAAAGATACTAAATATTTTATAGCAGCTCTAAATGCTTTATGCCAATATTTTACAGATAAGAGCGAAGAAAAAAGATTTAAATATTATGTGGCAATACCTGGTAAGACGAATGGTATTTTTCAAACTTGGTTAGAAGTATTAGACTCTATAAAAGATTTAGAAAAAACTCTTTTTAAAGGGTTTAATGATTTTACTGAAGCATTAGATTATGCAAGGGGTATATTAGGACAAAATTATTATATTTCTCCAGCACCCAGAAAAAATCCCTCAATATAATATTAAAAAAGATACAGATAAAATAATGTCACGACCCAAAATCCAATTAGTCGTGATAGCACCTAAACCAACCCGCTATGTAAGCCAATTAGCAACAATCCAATTCAAAAGAGATCTACTGAGAAAAATATAGATAATATAACCGAACTTTTATACAAGGAATTTCCCAAGGGCTGGTAGTTTAAATACCGAGCTTCTGAGATTTAGAGTTTATAACGCTGATATGAAAGAAATATATCATATGTTTGAAATATACATGAGCAGATTTAAAATGCTAAAGCTACCAAGAACAAGAGGCAGCTATGACAGCAACGCAGGTACATCATCAATTCCAGCTCCCGCCATACACAACAACATCAGCATCAAAAATCTACATGCAAGGAGTAAAAGTGTAATATGAGTACAACCGACCCCATGTACTCAATAAGTAACAAACCTAACCTTAGGTTGAAAGCAGTGACAAGCTTGGACAAAGGTCAGAGTCCAACACCAATAGTCAAGAGACATTCGTAACAATATAAGAAGAGCAGTATAAGTAACGACTCAAAAATATGATGCTCAACTCGTTCACAGTTACGGAAAATAGTCATGCTTTTCAGGTATAATAGTAAAACCCAAATCTTTCACCGAAATCACCAAAGTATGAGTAAGTCAGAAAAACTATGATTTTTCCCAAAATCTTTCAACAATAAATAAGATGTTTCAGTATCAGATAGCATGAAGAAAGTACTTCTCTATGCCTACGTGTCAATGTGCACGTGAAGTCATGAATGTCACAAAACAGTGTAGCATGAGGAAATGCATCTCTATGCATGTATGACAAGTATGCATGTCAAATGCAATGCATCACATCCAGCCCAGAGTACTCAATCTCACTGTCTCACACTCCTACTCATCACGCTCAATACTCAGCACACTCAGTCACTCAGCATTGTACAATACCCGCTGCGGCGTGCAACCCGATCCCGTCATGAATCAATAGTAATTGCGTTTACTATGGGTGTGCAGACTCCGGAGGGGCGAATCCAGCCCATGCGCTAATAAATCTTACTACGGCGCGCAGCCCGATCCCATTATGAGTCAATAATACTTGCTGCGACGTGCAGCCGGATCCCATCATAAGTCAATAGTACATGATGCGGCGTGCAATTCTATCCCATCATGAGTCAATAGTGCCTACTGCGGCGTGCAGCCCGATCCCATCAATGTCACTCATAAACAGGCCATCGGCCTCACTCAGTCATTAATCTCTCAAGTCTCTCGGGCTCACAATGTCATGAAAATCAGTCCAAAAATGATGATATGATGTATTAATAAATGGCAATAGAGACTGAGATATGATATGCAAATAAATGAGTATGACTGCATATGTAACTGCAATTTAAGCAAGTAACTCAACAACAGATATGACCTCAATGGGTCCCAACGGAATAAGCATATAGCCTAAACATTGTTTCTAACATGGATCTCAGCTCAATTACTCTAGCAAGTAAATTTTTCATGGATAAAGACAAGATTAGGTAACTACACAGTACCACAGGATCAACCGAATCATAATTCACACGATGCACGCCCACAAACCCATCACCTAGTATGTGAGTCACCTCAACTCCAAACACATAACACGTATATTTAGGGGTTCAAACACTTAACACCAAGTTTAGAAGTGTTACTTACCTCGAACAAGCAAGATCCAATATCGAGCAAGCCACACAGTACTCTAGAAATGCCACCTCGCACGCATAAACCTCCGAACGACTCAATACTAGCCAAAAGCAATACAAGAACATCAAATAATTCCAAAGGAAACAAACCCAATTGATAAAGGTCAAATCTTTAATCAAAATTCCAAAGTTAACAAAAAAAGTCAAAACTGAGCCCGCACCTCAAAACCTGACAAAACTCACAAAATCTGACAACCCATTCAATTACGAGTCCAACCATACTAGTTTCACTCAAATCCGACTCTGAATCGATGATCAAAATTCGAAAATTCACTCTATGAAACTTTAGACAAAACCCCCAATTTCTCTTTTGAAATCATCAACCAAATGTAACGACCCGATCAGTCATTTTGAGCTCTAGAGCATTTTTTTGGTAATTTGAGGCCTTGAGTAGCTTCCCTTCATATTTTATGACTTGTACGTGTGGTTGGAATTGAATTTCGGGAAGTTCAGAGTTGTTTCGAAAAGAAGATTCTCAATTCGGAAGCTTTAAGTTGGAAGAGTTAACTAAGATTTGACTTTTGAGTAAACGACCTCGGAATTGAGATTTGAAGGTTCCAATAGGTTCATATGATGATTTCTTGCTTGGGCATATGTTCGTATTGAGTATCGGGTGGCCCGGGAGAATTTCGACGCCTATTATGGAACGTTTGCATTTCTGAAAGTTTAAGAATTTCTTAAGTTTGAATTAAAATGAATTTTGGTGTTATCGATGTCCATTCGGGGTTCTGAGCCCTGAAATAGGTTTGTAATGTGATTTATTAATTGCACATAAAATTTGGCATCATTCCAGGATGTTTAAGCATAATTGGGACGCGTTCGTCGAAGTTTAAAAATTTCTCAACCAATCCAAACTCAAATCGCAATAGCTATAACCCACTGGTAGAAAAGAAACCCTCCTCACAACATCATAAGAATCACACCTATGTAGATTACCCTGCAGGTTATAACCCACATGCTTAGCCTCAAACTGTCATCTCTCTATACCCTTTCACAGCCACAACTACTACGCAATCACTGAATCTTTCTGAGTCTAAACTCATCAATAAGACATGAGAATCTAATTCGTTCCATAATTTATCAACATGAAAGATTATTCAACACACTCATAACTCGAGACTATATGTCATATCAAGACAAAAATCAAGCACCCAATAGTCCTTTTTTACATCTCATGCAAACTCTTCTCGTCACATTCGAACTATCTAAAATAGCCCGTAGTCAGATCATACTCATCATTTAGTCATCCAACCACTCATCGAGCCACCAACTCCACTCATAGGGACACAACTGGACATAGAAGTCCAAAAGCACATGCTCACGCAACTGAAACTGCCGAGCCTAAGTTGCGATCCAAACCCAGCCTCAAGTCCTTTAGACTGGCCCATCACCAAAGCACAGGAAACACATCTCTCACCTCATCCATGGAATTCCACAAGCCGTCGATGTACAACTGATATTGAGCGCTCAAATGCGCATACGAGTGAGTAGAAGGAATTCAAAGAGATATGCTTCAAGCTTAATCAATGTCGCACGATAAGGAAAGAAAGATGGGAAGTTTATCCTAAATGCCTTGTAGCCTCTCGAAGATAGGTATGGAGGTCATCATACCAATCCGCAAGACTCTACTAGACACTTGCTCATGACTCGTAGAACCTATGAACCTAGAGCTCTGATACCAACTTGTCACAACCCAAAATCCAACTAGTCGTGATGGCACCTAACCCAACCCGCTAGGTAAGCCAATTAGCAGCTATCTAATTCAAAAGAGATCTACTGAGAGAAATACAGATAATTTAACTGAACTCTCATACAAGGAATTTCCCAAGGACTGGTAGTACAAATCATGAGCTTCTAAGATTTAGAGTTTACAAAGCTGATATGAAACAAATGCATCATCTGTTTGAAATATACATGAATAGATTTAAAATGCTAAAGCTACCAAGAACAAGAGGCAGCTATAAAAGGAACGCAGGTACATCTTCAATTCCAGCTCCCGCCATACACAACAACATCAACATCCCAAATCTGCACGCAAGGTGCAGAAATGTAGTATGAGTACTACCGATCCCATGTACTCAATAACTTACAGTGACGAGCTTGGACAAAGGTCAGAGTCCAACACCAATAGTCAAGAATAATTTGTAACAATATAAGAAAAACAGTACATGTAATGACTCAAAAATATGATGCCCAGCTCGTTCACAGTTACGGAAAATAGTCATGCTTTTCAGGTATAACAGTAAAACCCAAATCTTTCACCGAAATTACCAAAGTATGAGTAAGTCAGAAAAAACTGTGATTTTTTCCAAAATCTATGTAAAAGAACATATATAGAGCTAACTAATAGTTTAATTGAAATAAAAATTAGTTCAAAAAAAGGTCAGAAGTACATGCAATTTCATTCCACTTGAGTTCAGAAAAGATACAAAATCTCTACCCATGAGTTGCCTACTTTACTCGCAAATACATGCAATCTCAGTTTCGATGAATACTAAGGATCTTGCATTCTGATGACAAGAATATTCACTTTTTTAATATGACCACAGAGGACATCAAGGACTTGAAAAGATTCCTAGAAAGCATCTCAAAACTACATGTTCTGACCATTACTTAAAGAATACAATTTGAAGGAAGAAAAGAGATCATGAAAGACATAGAGTTTTCTCCTACTTCAACAATAACCAATAACCAATAATCAGTTACAAGAATACATAGCTTAGAATTCCTTTTTTTTTCTTTTCTATTCTTCTATTATAAAGTAACACCCTTAGGCCATAACTGGTTTTGGCATCACCTTATCTCCCTCAGCTTTCCATACAAATATTAGACACCTATTAGCTCCACTCTCACTTCTATTTCAGACTAGTGGATAACCAGATACATTTTCTACAAAGTATTAACACATGGCAAAGTATTTCCATCAAATACAACCAATAAGTAAGCAGTAATTTGCTAAATCTTCTTCTCTCTAACTCAAAAAATTTAACACTGAAAAACAAACAGATTCTCAGATGTAGAAATAAAAAATATAAAGAAATAAATATGAGAATGAAATAGCAGAAATGAAAAAACAGAGATAACAATTTGTAGTTGGTGGCTACAATAGGGATTGAACTGGAACAGAAAATACTTTAGGCAGAGCAGGTTTTTTTTTTCTTAACAGATAAAAGAAAATTTGTAGCAACAAAAGGTACCGCTCCAATTTCTATTCTACCAGTACAGAACATCAACCTGCCAAAACCATACAAACACGATGAACAACTTAAGCCCTCACTCTCTTCAAGCTTACCACTGGTTTTAGCAGTTGTGCAAAAAGCAAAATTACAATATTACAAAGATTAAAACATACGGGGTAAGACTAAACCGAAGAATTGAAGGCCCTGTAAGGAATTGGAGAAATACTGAAAGCCGACTCACCTCGAGTCAGTCAGACATCCATATAATGCAGAATGAGGAGATAAAAACGGAAGTGAAAATTCCTCTTTGTTGAGTTATGCAAAAAATATTGGCATATGCCAGAATTGGAAAACATTGGTCTTAAAAAGCCATATCTGTGTGAAAATCAAAAGAAAAAAAAAAAAAAAGGAATCATAAGAGTTCTGCAACAATTTGTCAAAGCGATAAGCTCATCATAGTGAATAAGGAAAGAAAACTCTACCTTTGATGTTTTCGGGATTCAAATAAAATTCTCGATTTCATCCACTGAGAACCTGATGCAAGGAGCCCCATCTGTTAAGTAAGATAACTCATATGCTTCTTTTTATCGAAAGCACTCTCTTGAATTCCTGGAACATCCTCTTCCTTCGCTAAACCATCTTCTAATGCTAGAGAACCAATCTCATGCTTATCCCCAGTGAGAGGGCTTGTAGAAAGAATGTGATCCCAGAAAATGTCATTAATGCCTGGAAGCTTAGGCATCTCGTCAAAAAAGACATCAATATCAGTATCTGTGGAAAATCTATCAGGGACAACTGATGTTACACCATCCACAATGCCTTGCATTCTGTCAATGTCTGGCAAATCCCCAGTTCCCGACCGCTTAAGGTCAGTTATTCCAAAATTGTCCAGTATATTTATCCCATGTCCTTCTGAAACTTCAGGCAGAACATGGTCTATCTGAAAGTTAAGTGCATTTAAACCAGGAAAGTGAGGGACTTTGGCTTCCCCAGGAATCAGACCAGGGGAATATTGGATCTCAGGAATGGCAGATAAATTAGAGTTGAATGGAAATCCTGAATCCGACGTCAGATGAGATTGTGAAGAAGTTGGCAGTTGTGGAAGGGTAACCCCAGAAATATGACTGCATATACCAGCACTGTCTAATGTATTTTCGAAAGCATGGCCATGACTAGTCAAAAAACCATTTGTATTCTTAACTTTGGTTTCCAGCCAACCAGATGCATTAGTTTTCAGGATCTTCTGCAGCAATGCTTTTGCTGCCTCATTCATTAAAGGCTGGTAACGGACTATCTGCCTGTCATGCAAAGTACTGACAGGCTTGCCTGCATAAATTTCTTCTTCCTGGTTGGGAAATCTCCTCTTCTTTTTCATCCCATGAATGCGCCTGTTACCTTCATTGTGTTGATGAATAAGCTCGGCTATAAAGCCAGGGCTCTGCAAGGCCTTAGCAAGGAATGACATGGTTTGCTGTTCTCTTTGCTCCATTAAATGAAGACGCTGCCCAACATTCTCTAAGCAGTGGTCTGTTGCCTGCTGCTGCTGTTTCAACTTGACTAGCTCCTCCATATGAATACTTTTATCTCTTTTAAGCCTTTCAACCTCTTCTTCTATTCCAAACTTCCCAACTTCAACACAAGATTCAACAGATACACTTTGCACTTGGGAGGCGGTGTCCTGATGGACCTGCATTTGAGATGGTTTTCGCCTACTTATGGTCTTCAACAGGTGTTTGTGGCCTCTAAGGAATCCCTCATTTGCAAATTCCCAGCAGTCTGGATCAACCTTCCTGTAACCCTGGTTGATGAAAGGGCAGAGCAAATTGTAAAAAAGGATTAAGGTTGCCCAATATATACAAAGAGTACTTATAACCAAAACACAAAGATAACAGCGAGTGACAAAACTGTATAAACTGCAATACACAAGAAAATTATTCCCTCATCGTGATTAAAAGAGACTCCCATCTCCCATCGTCCCATCATCGATTTATTGCTTTGAACCTTGAAACATGGAAAAAATGGTTAAAATGTCACATGGTTACACTACATGTGATGCCTTGAAATCAGTAATAATGCAGACATGATTAGCAATGATCAGAATGTTAGGATTAGAGATTCTTAGGAACAGAATCATGTGACAAACAAATAAGAGGAGGTTAGTGAGTGGCAAACGGGATTGAGCAGGAGAGCAAGATTAGCGACCGGGTAAAGTTCCCTTTATTGTAGGGTAACTTTTATACCATGGAGGTGGGGCAGTAGGTGGCGAGACCTGGGGGGTTAATGTGTGCCGGATAGGATAGAGGGGAGAGATAGAAATAGCAAAGGGGAAAAGATCACCCCTTTACCTCATGGCACACTTTTTGACCCACCTTTACCGTGGAATACAGTTATACCATGAGAAAGAATGATAAGCCCCTAAACAAAGCTTCCCAAAACACACCAAACACTGAAATTAATTTAAAACAAACGCTGCCCCTAAACATAAACTTGAGATTAAATCAGGTTTATCAACTCTACAACTGCTTCTTGAATTAAAGTAACAGTCCTCAATTTGCTATATCCCTGATGAGACCCTACCAAATAATTTTCTAATAAAAAGGGAATAAGCTTTCAAATCAAAGTGTTTACTGATATTTTAGCACCAAAGACAACTTCTGATTTGATTTAAACAAGCGTGTGGCTTGTGCATATGGGATCAGAGAGCTTCTCATTAACTCTTAATAAAAAATCAAACTGCCAAGCTGAATTGAAGGAAGGACAAGTACCCCATTGAACTGAATCCATTCAATAATATTCTGAAAATAATGTACTAAATCAGATGAAACTTCATATTATATTCCAATTAGAGAGAAAGTTTTGCCTATTTGCTCGAGTTTGCTGCATCTTTCCAACTCAATGTACTACTTATATACAATCAATTTCAAATAGAATACTTGTAAATTTTTTTAGAAGAGGATATAAAGAAATAGAAAACAAATAAGCGTATATCATAGTGACAGCTAGAAACACAAGCGACCTAAGTAAAAACATTTAAAACAATGAGCAGAGAAAATCTATACATACTCAGAAACATAACGATATTTTTAAAAAAGCAACAATCTTATGTGCCTCAATCCAAATTGGCGAATTTCAGAAACAAATTCAATATTAGAAAAAATGTTTTTCTTATAGGGTTTAAGCAAATTGTTGCAGACACCAACCTCACAAGCAAACGCATAAACCGAAATAGTGGAATAAAGAGCGAAAAAACAAAGAGGAATTTTAATACTTACATAAGTATTCAACTGCCTAACAAAGCTGGAGAAATTATTGTGCTTAAAATACTTGGGCAAAATATCTCTCGAAAACTCCAGCACGTTCCAGACGACGAAGCTGTTATTACTCTTACTCCAAGACACCACTGAATCGGTCGACAAATCGTCCACCATCTCATACGTCTTGCACAGAAAAGGCGGTGGCGAATTTCCTATCTCATGAATTGCTTCCATTTTTGGCCACTCAAAATCGGACGCCGATCTTCTGAAGGTACTCTGGGATTCTATATTCTCAATTACTAATTTGACGTATTAAAATTAGTATATAATGTATAATTCGAAAATATGTTTTTATTAGCTTTTAAATAGAATAAAAAGTTTTTTAATTGTTATTACAAGGATTAGTTTTGTAATTTTAGTTGTTTTAATCTGTTTATTGTTAAATGTTAGAGAAAATTATCAAAATGGTCCTTAATGTATAAGGGTTGAAATATTTTGGTCCTTGATATATACCATTTAATAGGAATAGTTCTTAATGTATACAAAAGGTAATTTATGTTAAATTTAACCTCAATCCCTAAAAAGCAAAGCCTAGCAAACCCCTTTGCCCCTATCTTCTATCTTTTACCGTGCCAAGCTCTCGATAAAAAGAAAACTCAGCTCGCATCTCTTCCACTATTTCTATTACTACCAAAATACCCATTTCAAACAACCAAAGTTTTTACACATGACTGATATGTTGAATGGAAGAAAATATCAAGAACAAGAGTGAACCCATATGATATATCCTTGTATTTAAAGGTCAAAACTTATTTTTGCACAACAGCTACGAAGCAACTTGGACAAGACGATTTTAACTGTCCATGTTGAAATCTTGTCAAGCAACATTACTGGTTGCATATCACGAATTGGCCCATCACCTCTTCTTCGACTATATTACTAGTCCTATAATGGCTAGAATTTTCTGGTTCACCATTATTCTGCTTCTTTGAATCTTTCCTAGTAAGAAAACAATTCAAACTTCATCAAGATACAAAGCAAAAGTTTAGAATTCTATACCACATTGAAAACTATTCTCTTAAGACTTAATGAAATTAAATTGGTTTTCCAAACTTGGAATACTATAGAGAATATATTTCATGATCCATCGCTCAAGCATTAGATTCAAGTTTATGTATCTCTAGTTGCAAAATTATAAATCAAACTGAAATTTTAACAAATGAAGTGATTAAAACAGATTCGCAAGTAAATTCAAACAAGAAAATAAGGATTTCCATTTATAAAATCCATAAGACTAACAAGCAAAACAATTTAGCTTCCCAAGATCCATTCTTGTTTGAGAGAGGGTTTGGATTTAAGGTCGTTAATGGTGAATGAGAGAAGAGGAGGGAGTCGGGAGAGATTGGGGTGAAGTTTAACAGAATATTTTGTTTTCTACTGTTAGTTTTAGGGATGAGGACCAAAGCTATCACTTTTTGTATACATTAAGGACTATTCTTATTAAGTGGTATATATCAAGGACCAAAATATTTCAACCCATATACATTAAGGACCATTTTGATCATTTCCTCTTAATTGTTACAAGGATTAGTTTTGTAATTTTAGTTGTTTTCATCTGTGTATTGCCAATACTCTCATTTTTATTTAGTGTTTCATCTAGCATAAAATAAGTACAGAATTTTCTCTATAACAATATACCCAGTATATTCTTAAATGTGGGTCTGCGAAGGGTAGTGCATGCGCACACCTTGCCCTTACTTTGTGCAGGTGGAGAACCTATTTCCTATAGACCTTCGGCTCAAGCAAACACAATCGCAGCAGTAAAGCAAATTGAAATATGAAAATGGTAGGGAATCATAAGAAAAGAAATAATAGCGAAATAGTAAATAATCAAAGCAAAAACAACATTAGATAATACTAGAAATCCAAGAAAAAAGATAAAACAAGAGTAATACTACAGCTACCCGAATGGAAGGAAAGTGAGCTATATTACTACTAAACTTCTATCATAATCTTCGACCTCTATAATCTCCTATCAAGAGTCATGTTCTCAGTCAGCTAAAGATGCGTCATGTCCTGCCTAATCACCTCTCCCCAATTCTTCTTTGTCCTTCCTCTACCTCTTCTCAGACCCACGATGTTCAACCTCTCACACCTCCTCACAAGGGCGTCTGGGCATCTCCTCTTCACATGTCTGAATCATCTCAGCCTTACTTTCTACATCTTATCCTCAATGGGGGCTACCCTCACATTGTCCCGAATAACTTTATTGCTAACTCTATCTCTCTTAGTATGCCCACACGTCTATTTTTAGCATCTTTATCTCCGCTACTTTTAACTTCTAGACATGAGAGTTCTTGACTAGCCAACACTCCGGCCCATACAATATAGTGGACCTAACCACCACTCTATAGAACTTACTTTTAAGTCTTTATGGCACGATCTTATCACAAGACACCGAAAGCAAAGCCTCTATTTCATCTACTCTGCCCCAATACGATATGTAATATCCTCGTCAATCTCCCTGTTGCTCTGGATTACTAACCCAAGATACTTGAAACTTTCCTTCTTAGGGATGGCTTGTGTGTCAAGCCTAACTTCCACTTCATCTTTATGGGTTGCGTTATTGAACTTGCACTCAATGTATTCGATTTTAGTCTTGCTCAGCTTGAAACCTTTAGATTCCAAAGTCTGTATTCAAACCTCCAACTTAGTGTTAACTCTAGTTTCGCATTTCATCAATCAGCATTATATCATCTATAAATAACATGTATCATGGTACCTCCTCATGAATATGTTGAGTCAATATATCCATCGCCAAGGCGAATAAGAATGGGCTAAGAGCTGATCCCTGGTATAACTCCATCATGACAGAGAAGTGTCTCGAGTCTCCTCACACTGCCCTTACCTCGGTCTTAGCTCTATCATCTCCTCACACTATCCTTACCTTGGTCTTAGCTCCATCATATAATATTCTTAAGCGCTCTAATGTATGGTACATGGATACCTCTAGACTCAAAATGCCTCCATAAAACTTCTCTTAGGACTTTGTCGTATGCTTTTTCCACATCAATGAACACCATATACAAACTCATTTTCCTTTCCCTATACTGCTCCATCAGCCTCCTTATAAGATGAATAGATTTTATGGTCGATCGTCCCGAATTGAACCCAAACTGATTTTCGGAGATAGACACCCTCCTCCTTACCCTCGTCTCTAACATCCTCTCCCAAACTTTCATAGTGTGACTTAGCAGCTTGATACCTATGTAGTTGTTATAATTTTAGATATCACCCTTGTTCTTGTATATCGGGACCATCGTACTCCACCTCTATTTTTTGAGAATCTTGAATGTCTTAAGAATAATATTAAATAATCGGGTGAGTCATTTCAAGCCTACAATACCCGCGCTCTTCCATAACTCTATTGAAATCTCGTCAGGCCTGATCGCTCTTTCTCTATTCACACATAGCCCCCTCAACCTTCTCAGCCTTTATACACTTACAAAACCCAAAATATTAGAAAATTTTAGATTAATTTAAATCGCCCAGCATAATTTTCCTCTTCATTATTTAAGAGTTTATGGAAGTATGTCTGCCATCTTCGTCTAATATGTGTGTAACGACCTGACCGATCGTTTTGAGCTCTAGCGAGTCACCCGGTAGTTTAAGGCCTTGAGTAGCTTCACTTTATGCATTATGACTTGTACGTGTGGTCGGAATTGAATTTCGGGAAGTTTGAAGTTATTTCGGAAGGAAAATTCTCAATTCGGAAGCTTTAAGTTGGAAGAGTTGACTAAGGTTTGATTTTTGAGTAAACGACCTCAGAATCCGGATTTGAAGGTTCCAATAGGTTCGTATGATAATTTCCCACTTGGGCGTATGTTCGGGTTGAGTATCAGATGGTCTGGGAGCATTTCGGCGCTTAATATGGAAAGTTGGCATGTTGAAGGTTTTAGAATTTTCTAAGTTTGGTTTGGAGTGAATTTTGGTATTATCGATGTTCGTTTGGGATTACGAGCCTTGGAATAGGTTCGTATTGTGATTTATGACTTGTGCGTAAAGTTTGGCATCATTCTGGGATGTTTAAGTATAAATCAGACGCGTTCGGCGAAGTTTGAATGTTTGAAAGTTTGGAATTTTTTCTAAGTTTGACCATGGTTTGACTTTAAGGCTATCGGGTTCGGATTTTAGGTTCGGAACTTGGAATAGGTCTGTTTCGTCATTTGGAACTTGCTTGAAAAATTTGACGTCATTCGGAGTTGATTTGATGTGGTTCGGACGATTGGTTGCAATTCTAGAAATTCTTGAAGTTCATTGTGATTTTTATGTGTTTTGACGTCCGATTCGTGATTCTAGAGGTTATTTTGGTATTTTGATCGTGCGAGCAAGTTTGAGTTATGTTTTTAGACTTGTGTGGATGTTTAGTTTGGAGCCCCGAGGGCTCGGATGAGTTTTGGACGCGTTCAGGAGGAGTTCGTAGAGGTTCAGCTGGTTCTGGTGCACTGTTCTCGCATTTGCGAGGTTTTTATCGCATTAGCGATAGCTGCATTTGCGATATCATTCTCACTTTTGCGAAGATGGGCCGGGGCAGGGGAGTTCGCATTTGCGAACAAACTTTCGCTTTTGCAAAGTCACTGAGCTCTCATTTACGAGACTTTTGTCGCATTTGTGACACAGACAGTGTTGGTCGGGCTTCGCATTTGCGACGCCAATTTTGCATTTGCGACCATCGCATTTGCGAGCCTCTTGTTGCAAATGCGACATCTGTGGCTGTTATTAAGGCTTTATTTCGGGACTTAGTCTATTTCTCTCATATTTTTATTTGGTTAGGCAATATTTGGAGCTCTTGGAGGCAAGATTTTCATCATCTATGGTAAGGTAAGTAATTCCCACATATTGTAAGTTAACATGGATTCTATAAGGATTTAACATGAAAATTGTGGGAAATTGTGGAATTTTTGAAGAAAAACCTAGAACTCGTATTTTTGAATTATAACCACGAAATTTTCGTGGAATTAGGAATAAATTATGTATTTGAGTTCGTGGTGTTATGAGTAATGTTTATTTTCAAAAATTTTGGAATCCGGGCACGTGGGCCCGAGGATTGACTTTGTTGACTTTTCGAGCGGGGTTAGAAATTATTATAAATTAATTAATTATGAGTATTAGAATAAATTCTTATTGGTTTGTACATTGTTTGACTAGTTTCGGATCGATGGGCATCGGTTTGAGGTGTTAAAGAGGCGTCGGAGCCGGTTATAGAACTTTAAAGCGAGGTAAGTCTCGTGTCTAACCCT